ACACACACACACACATTATATACATATATATATATATATATATATATATATATATATATAATATATATATATATAATATATTATATATATATATTATATATATATATATATATATATATATATATATATATATAATATATATATATATATATATATATATATATATATATATATATATATAACGTGTGTGTATATATTATGCATATGTATGTATACATTTATATATACATATGTGTGTTTGTATACATACATGTGAGTGTGTATGTACAAGTATGTATATGATTTTTTATACATATACATATATGCTGTACATAAGTAGCATTTTTAGCTTACAAAATTAAGAAATGTGTTTTGCATAGCGTTTTGTTAGAAATACGCCATTTTACATTTGAGCCGCCATTTTGAAAAGAAGAAAAATGTTCAAGTCCCAAAATGAAACTGGATTCTGCTATGCCTAAGGACATCAAAACCGTTTCCAGAACTGGATTTTTTTCGATTTTGCTGTTATGTGACCTATCTGTATCAAGTTAAAAGATTTTTTTTACTTAGTTTTCATATATGATTTAAACGCGTCATATACGTGCTGCTTCACCCAGTTTCCATGACAAAATCTCGTGTGTTGGGTCCCACGGAATTACGTCTTGCATGTCTCGCCACAGTGCAGTTCACAAGCGGCTGTCCAAGATGCCACAGTTTCGGACTACGCCTTTGATCTTACAAACCCCTTACGACGCAGCTCGCTAGCCTAGTTTGCTTACAATTTCCCGGTACCCGCTTCCAAGGCAGACTCGGTGATCTCCACAAGAATTGCGCTTACCTCTCTGGGAGAAGGCAATTCAATCTTAGGTATTCATAAATGCTGATCTGATATTCCGCATCGTTAGTAAGGCAGGCCAGAGCATTTCAGGTTATTGTTGATTAAAAATTACCCTTTCGTCTAATGTTTAGAAATATATCCACGATGTTTAGATGTAGCTTTTCAAGAATTCTGATTTCAGTGACGAAGCGAGGTCGAAATAGATGTTACAACTGAAGCTTTAATCCACATTTTTCAACTGCTCGAGAATTAATTACAATAAATTCGTCATGGATGAGAATGGTTAGTGAATATTTTCAAATTAGCAGGTCTTGTGTTAATAAGAACGTGCTTTCATGAGTTTAACCTAAAATTGGATCATGTATTATTACATTCATGATCACGTCATTGTCAACATTCATTTAGTCAGCAGTCTAAGCTGGCTTAATGAGCATGCCAGTTATAGTAATTTCAACATCGGAGACACTATCGACCACTTAATGGTTTCACCTTCGGCGCTTCAGCAGCCCAGCGAGGGTGACGCAACGACCAGACTCGAGGCGTATATAAAGCGGCGTTCCTTGCCCTCAGCAGCACTCTTCGACGCTCCCTCCCATACGCCATGTCTGCCAAGGTAGGCTGGCTTCCTTCGTGGACGGAGGAGCAGTTGTGGTTTATACAGACTCAAAACTCGTCAAAATTCGGTGACGATTTTGCGAAAAGATTACCGTCACAATGGCGTTTAATATATACCTGTTGGCGACTCGATCGACAATTACACCTGAACGGTGCTTACTCATAGATGTAGAGTCCGAGAGAAAGCATTTCATTTTCATTCAGTGAATACATCAAAATCGATAGCCCAGTTCTCTCTATCTTCTCTCCCAATTTTTCCTCCGCCTCACTTTCTCCTCTCTCTCTCCCTCTCCCTCGCTTTCTCTCTCACTGCTACCCTCCGACTCTCCTCCCCACTTTCCTTCTCTTTCTACCTCTCTTTATCTTATGGCCTCCATCTGCCCTCACTCCCCCAAGGAAAACGCAGCCCCCGACCCTGTGTTCATTCGCAATTCCCTTTTGCAGCTCTTCGTCCTGTTCGCCCTCGTGGCTGTGGCCTGCGCCGCCCCCCGCCCCGATGCCCCTCCTTCCTACGGGCCCCCCGCCTACAAGGAGCCTGGCATGCCCTTCGACTTCGCCTACGCCGTCAAGGACGACTACACCGGCAACGACTTCGCCCACGACGAGACCAGCGACGGCAAGGTCACCTCGGGATCCTACCGCGTCCTCCTCCCCGACGGTCGCACCCAGATCGTCACCTTCACCGCCGACCACCACAGCGGATACGTCGCTAACGTGGCCTACGAGGGCGAGGCCGCCTATCCTGCACCCAAGCCCGCCGCCTACGCCCCTCCCCCTCCCGCCTACGCCTAAACACCAAGCCTTCCTCCTTCGCCTGAGATAGCAACCAACACCTAAAGTTCGCCTTCCGCTTTTCCAAGCCTCTCCACCTCACTCCAAGCCCCTTGGCTCCTTCGCCGCAACTTCCATCGTTCTCTCCACCTGGCGTTCCTCAGCCTCGTTCCGTTCCTTTCGCAGACGCCGCTTGAGCGCCTCTTCCTTTGCCTCCTTTCCTTCTGAGATTCTGCAGAGTTATATTTATTATAAATTATGTTTTTCGCTCTTTATAATAAATGCTGATATGTCTTA